CAAGAAGAGAGGCCCGCACAGAGAGACTGCTCCTTTCTGAGGCTTCCAAGGCACCAGTAAGTATGACAGGCCCAATCTTCAGGCATTTTTAACATGGAAAGGAATTATACCAATGCAAGGAAGATGCAATAGAATTCTCTATAGGTTTGCTAATCCACGTTAGTGAGCAAGTCACACAGTGGAACGCCCAATATAGACTTTTCAGGTCAGGAGGAAATGGAAGCTGATTGACAAGGATCTCTATCAGACACAGAGAGCTACTAGTGACTAGTCGAAATTCTGTTGAAGGAAAGGTTCTTCAGATGTTCTCCAAGTCACACCCCTTTCTTTTATTTTCAGATCATCTGAATTTTTAGTCCACAAAATAGATTTTTGTTTTTACTATGACTGACTTCCACTGTAGCCAATTCTTTATATATCTAGTGTCTATTCCTGTTTAAGCTTACTTTAAAATGTTAAATTCAATTAATTTTTGGTCAAAATTTAAAATGACCTGTTCTTTTCTTTTTTTAAGACAGCGTCTTGCTCTGTTACCCAGGCTGGAGTGCAGTGGTGCAAACTTGACTCACTGCAACCTCTACCTTACAGGTTCAAGCGATCCTCCCACCTCAGCTTCCTAAGTAGCTGGGACTAGAAGCACGCGTCACCATGCCCAGCTAACTTTTGTATATTTTGTAGTGATGGGATCTCCTTATGTTGCCCAGCTGGACTTGAACTCCTGGGCTCAAGTGATCCACCCACCTTGGCCTTCCAAAGTGCTGGTATTACAGGCATGAGCCACTGTGCCTGGCTTATTATTTTCTTTTGTAATAAAAACATTCATACATGTTGAGTACCATTATTAGGTCTCTCCTGTGCTTCTTTAGAAAAACAACTCTGTATTTTCATGATTTCAGTTGTCTAACTCTTCAATCTTTTTTTTTTTTTTTTTTTTTTTTGAGACAGAGCCTTGCTCTGTCGCCCAGGCTGGAGTGCAGTGGCATGATCTTGGCTCACTGCAACCTCTGCCTCCCGGGTTCAAGCTATTCTCCTGCCTCAGCCTCCCAGGTAGCTGCATGCCACCACATCTGGCTAATTTTTGTATTTTTAGTAGAGATGGGATTTCACCATATTGGCCAGGCTAGTCTCGAACTCCTGACCTTGTGATCTGCCCGCCTAGGCCTCCCAAAGTGCTGGGATTGCAGGCGTGAGCCACCATGCCCTGCCTCTTTCATCATTTTTTCCCCTTATTCTCTTTGGATTTTCCTTTTATCTTAATTTATGGATCTAAAATATACAGATAAAACTCATGTAAATGGAGCGTCCTGATTTATGACAATATTTGGAAGAAAGTAGATTAAATGTTTACTTTTGCTCAAAAACAACTTTTATATACTACTGTAAAACTAGATTCTGTTTTTACTGCATAGACTAAAATATGAAGTTACTATTAGAGTGGATTTTTCAGAAATACAGAAAGTGGTAATTAGTTTGAAAATTTCATTGAAAGAAAAAAAGTCCACTTTATTAACAATGGTGAAGAGGCACATGCCTGCTTTCTCTTTTGCTCAGAAGCCCACAAACCTTCATATTTTCTTTCAAGACAGATCCCTTTTTTCTCTTTTTCTTTTGAGACAGGATCTGGCCCTATCACTCAGGGTGGAGTGCAGTGGTGCGATCTTGACTCATTGAAACCTCTGCCTCCGGTGCTCAAGTCATCTTTCAACCTCAACCTCCCAAGAGTAGCTGGAACTACAGGTGTCCGCTACCATACCAGCTAATTTTTTTTATTTTTTGTAGAGAAGGGGTCTCACTTTGTTGCCCAGGCTGGTTTCAAACTCCTGGCCTCAAGTGATCCACCCACATCAGCCTCCCAAAGTGCTGGAATTACGGGTGTGAGCCACCGTGCCGGGCCAGATCCCTTATTTTTCTAAACCATAAATACATGGAGTTTAAACAATGGAATTAGGTAAAATGTGATTTTACAGCAGGATAGGCACTCTTACAGAAGAAATATCTAAAATTCCAGGGAAATAAATAAAATGTTAGCATCTTTATGAAATAAGTTTGGTGTTGAATAGGAAAGAGAATAGTAATTTTTAAAATAAACTTTTATTTTGAAACAATTTTAGACTTACAAAAGAGTTGCAAAGATAATACAGAGTAATTGGTTTTGTAGCATCAATTTAAGCCTGCTCTGGTCTTCTTGATCTACATTTTAGGATAATGAAAAATAAGTTCAGGTAAAGGAGCTTGGCTGGGCATGGTGGCTCACACCTGTAATCCCAGCACTTTGGGAGGCAGAGGTGGGTGGATTGTTTGAGCCCAGGAATTTGAGACCAGCCTGGGCAACATAGCGAAAACCCATCTCTACAAAAAAATGCAAAAATTAGCCTGGTGTGGTGGCACATACCTGTGGTTCTAGCTCCTCAGGAAGCTGAGGCAGAAGAATTGCCTGAACCCAAGAGATCAAGGCTGCAGTGAGCTGTGATTGTGCCACTGCACTCCAGCCTAGGTGACAGAGTGAGACTCTGTCTCAAAAACTAACAAACAAACAAAACATACATACACATACACACAAACCCATCCAACTGAGGCTAGGCATGGTGGCTCATGCCTGTAATCCCAGTACTTTGGGAGGCCAAGGCAGGAAGATCGCTTGAGGCCAGGAGTTCGTGACCAGCTTGGGCAACATGGTGAAACCCCATCTCTACCAAAATAATACAAAAATTAGCCAGGCGTGGTAGCTCATGCCTGTGGTCCCAGCTACTCAGGAGGCTGAGGTGGGAAAATCACCCAAGCCCAGGAGGTCAAGGCTGCAGTGAGCTGTGATTGAGCCTGGGTGACAGAGCAAGACCCTGTCCCCCAAAAAAAAAAAAAAAAAAAGAAGAAGCAGCAGCTAGCTAAGTCTCCTCTTACTGATAGTTTGAAACAGAACTTTAATTCGGAAAGTTTACTCTGTCATTAATTTCCATGGTGTTGTTTTTATACAGAAGTTTTTGAATATTATCAAGGCTTTAACATTTCTTTATCATATAAGCAGTCATCTTCTATAACAACTAAGCAACTTTTGAAACAGTTTTTTTGGTATAAAAGAATTTAATGCAAAATAACTGGAATGGGTTTTTCTTGGAGAAATAAAAAAAAGAAAAAGAGAAAAATATATGGAATGGGATCCCCCCATTAGATGAAAGCTTATGTTATAGAAATTATTTTCTCTATATTAATAAAAATATAAAATAAAAATAATCTTAAGCATTCATATTTTCAAAATATAGTACAGTTGAGATTCTGTGTAATTTTATTTCAAATCCTGTAACATAAGACTTTTAGAATTCCCGATTACTCTTTGGGTAAAAATATGAAAAGCATAAGCAACAATCTATAAAAACTGGGCATAGAGATTTTGTAGTCAAAACATTTTTTTTTAATTTATAATATGACACAATTTCAAACACACAACAAATAACAACATCCATGTTCCCACTACCCAGATTTTAAGAATGTTAACATATTGTCACATTTGCTTCAGAATTTTTTTAAAGAAATAAAACATTATAGAGACAGTTTTAGTCCTACCACCGGTTCGCGCAACACCACAGAACAGGGCCACTAAAGAGGCTGCCTCCTCTGGCAGCCAGGAAGGTGGAGAATCAGAAAGCCAACACTGCTGGGACCACTGCAATGGTTGGATCAGTTCTGTGCCAGATAGATCTCCACTGGCGAAATGGATACCCATGCCCTGCCCTCGATGCTTGTGAAGCTGGTAACAGGACACTGGGAGGCTTTCTGGGGAAAACCCAGCACCTCATCACCGTGCTTACCAACAAAAACCACAGAAGCAGCAGAAGCATGCTCTCCATTTCCTTCTGCCCTGCAAATCTCACACGAGGGCATCTGATTGTTCATCTCAGCAGAATGCTCGTGGGAAGACTGGCAACCAAAATAATAAAGATGCTATCTAATATGGTAACAACTTCTTTAAAGGGTCTTCCAAATCAGATTTCCATTTATATGTCAACAGTACAAACACTTCTAAATCTACATGGCCCTCTTTACCTTTTGATACATAATTGAATGTTTCCTATTATGAACTAAAAGTCATGTCTTTTTATCTGAATGCCTATAACATCAACCATCTGTGTCACCTGTCATACTACTTTGTTTTGTTGGTGACCTTGTCTGCCCTGTGCATGAGACTTGTTTTTCCAATTAAACAAATCTTGAATAGAGAAATCAAATCCTGCTTCCCTCTTTGGAGTCAGAGCACAGGCCTTCACATGTGGCAGCCAGCTGAATTGCTTATTGACTAAAACTCCATGGAGCTCCCTTCTTCCTTCTGTCTCAGATAAGAAATAGAGGCAGAGGAGAGATAGCCCACTGGGATCTTCCCATAGTTCTAAAAGGCTTTCTGTCCCTGAAGGTTTGCCTTTGTAAAGAATGAAAATTGACTGTAAATGTATTCCTTTCTAGGGAACAGCCACATCACCAGCCACCTAATAGAGCTGGCACTCCTGGGGAGTCCTTGGAGTGCCCTGCAGAGCTGAGACCACAGGTTCCCCAGCCTCCATCCCCAGCTGCTGTGCCTAGACCTCCTAGCAACCCTCCAGCCAGAGGAACTCTAAAAACAAGCAATTTGCCAGAAGAATTGCGTAAGTTGTTTGCAACATTGTTCTCTCCTTCTTCTTGTGAGGTCTTGTACTGTGTGATGGCTGGATGATCACTCGTGCCTAATCTCAGATTTTTTTTTTTTTTAAGACAGCGTCTCACTCCTGTCGCCTAGGCTGGAGTGCAGTGGTGTGATCATGGCTAACTGCAGCCTCAACCTCCTGGGCTCAGGTGATTCTCCCACCTCAGCCTCCTGAATAGCTGGGGTTACAGGTGCACACCACCACACCCAGCTAATTTGCTTATACTTTTACTAGAGACGGGGTTTTGCCATGTTGCCCAGGCTGGTCTCGAACTGCTGGACTCAAGCGATCCACCCGCCTTGGCCTCCCAAAGTGCTAGGATTACAGGTGTGAGCTACTGTACCTGGCCTCATAACCTCAGCTATTTCTTATATACACAGTAAAATAAAATGTACTTTTTTTGCTTTTTGCTTAAAAAGTAACCAGCATTTTGTATGAATGTTTTTAGTGATTCTGACACCACTAGTAACGCTCAAAAACTGCTTACCTCTAGATTTCCTTAAGCACATACTCCAAAAACAAATAACCCCAATGCCTTTTCCCTCTTCTAAATGATGCTTTTGAGTGGACTTGTCCCTGGGTAAATTGATTGGATGTCCATGTGGTATTGGACAGGGACCCAGCGTCTCACCATAAGTTAGCAGCAGCCATCAAGAACGAGGTCATTTCCTGTAGGAATGAGCAATCTTGTTTGGAAAAAACCGTCTCACATTCTCCATACTGCATCACAACCAAATGCAAAGTAAGCCTTTTATTTAAAGAAACATTCGACTAAGCGTAAGGTGATGATTCTTTTTCCATATTTTGCTGCCAGAACCAGAAATGTTGAAATATCACCAAAATGTTCTCATATTAAGGTCAATCAGGACAGTAATTTCCAGAAATCTTAAGAAAATAGCCACTATTTGTGAGATTATTATATGATGTGCTTGCTAGAGAACCTCAGGTAATTCTAATACGCATTTTCCAAATCTGGGAACCTCTTTGAACCAAACCTGAAACAAAGCCTTTTGCATCTGCTAATTCCTTTTGGGGGATCTGTGCTGTTTAGTCATTGACAACTCTGAAAGATTTCTATGACAATGATTCATTGCTGTTTTCATTCAAAACATTTTATTTCTGAACATTTTCTTAAGATCGTAATCATTTTAATTTTGAGCATTTCTGGAGAACAGATGCTGCCCCGCATACGTTATAGTCCTGATATCAGTCTATAGATCATATATATCTTACCACAATCTATAAAGGAAGTCCTAAAATACGTAAGAATTGGGTGAATGTTAGGTGTTCAGAAGAAAATTGAGTGCCATCAATATATCTAGCTGCTTAAATGTATAATATGACCATTATACACACTTCCATTTGGAAGGTGTGTTTCAAAAAACCTCAGAGTAGATACAGACTTTTATTTTCTCTCCGGCCCCCCTTTCTTCTCCATCTCTGCCCCAAGGGCTTCCTGAGATTTAACTGGTCCATTCCAGACTAAAAGCCAACACACAGAGATTATTCAGCTTTCACATTAAAATGCTAGTCAGACAATTTCCCTAAGACTTTAGCCTGAGAAAACATTGGTTCATCCTGACTGGGTTAAGCTTGTCCAAACGGTACTGTCTGCTGCTCTAAGCTGACCCAGGGATGAGTGACGGAGTCTGTGATGTTGGACTGCCCAGAGGCAGTGTCTCTCCTTCAAGCTGCTGAAGTCTTTTTTTTTTTTTTTTTTACTAACATTTCTGAGCTGTGCTTTGGTCTACTACAAACTTCCTGGCCTTTCTCCAAAAGTGAGTGGATTGCGGGGAAGAAGGGAGCGGGGAAACCACTTTCTCACTCTCCTCCCACTTGCTCTTGTCAGAAGAGCGAGCTTTCAGGGCAGCGGAGAGCATCAGGAGATCAAAAGGAGACACTGCTGGGTGGCCCGTTAGCAAGTTTTAGCTTCCTTGCCTGCTGCGAGAGTATTCCTTGGGCACAGTGCCAAGTGTCTCTAAGAAACTAGGCGGTGCCTGATCTTAAGGACTCGGGGATTCTGGGTGGTAGATTTCTTGTTAACGCCTCGCGGGTTTTCAGAAGCCCCCTTAGGCTTGTCTGAGCCTGCCAGTGCTCTCCTCTGTCGCTCTGATTTCCATTCACGCTGAGCAGTCTGCACTCCCTTGGACAGACCTGCTGGCATTTTGGGCCTGAGGAGCTGTGCCCTGAGGACAGCAACCCATACAATGCAGGCATAAGCTCTTAGAGCACCCCCAGCCCAAGGTTTCCCCTTATTATTCCAGAAGGACAAAAGATATTACATATAATTTAGAAGTTTGTTTAGAATAGAATAATTTGACCAGTTTCTAATAAATGTAAACATTTTCTCTTAGGGAAAGTCTTTATCACTTATTCGATGGACACAGCTATGGAGGTGGTGAAATTCGTGAACTTTTTGTTGGTAAATGGCTTCCAAACTGCAGTAAGTATTTTGTCCAAATAGATAACTGAACAGAGTGAGTACAATGGAGAGAAAAGCAGCAGAAGAAAAAGTGTAATAGCTTTTGGTGTTTTAAATGATATTATTTGATGTATGTGATTATGCATTGAATGCTTATAGATTTAGGTAATAATTATTTTCTAGATTTTAAACTATCTGAAGTCTCCAGCATTTTTTCCCTGTATGCTGTTTGAGTGACCCCACGTACCTCTGAACAGCAAGATCAGCGCTAATGCTGACCATATATGCAGCTAGCCCCTGGCCTGAAGGAAACGCCGGGCTCTTGCTGCACTTTGTACCTTTGTCCTTTCTCACCAATCATACCCACTTTGGTTGAGCTTCCCATAATGCAGGAAGCTGTAGGCTTCACCATGGTCACCTGCTTATTTAACAAAGTCCTTTTGTTCTGCACTGGGTTATGAAGTTTGAAGTAGAACCCTGCAGCCTGAATCCCCCACTGCACACAGCTGCTGTTTCCACACCTTTACACAGTGATGCTTCTGGATGGGCGATACTGGCCAGGTTTGGGGCTGGTCTAATCCAGTTCCAGGGGAGGCTGACCTAACCCAGCCCTGCAGGTCCACTGTGATCCTGGTCCCAGAAATCTCAGGAAACAGACACTGCGCCTGTCGCCCTGTGGTCCCTTGACACAGTACAGCTTAAAGCCATGTAAATTTTTCTCTATGATAAATAAAATACCACACGATGCCACTCAGGGGACTGGCTTTCCTCAAACACTGAGATAACTTCTTTTCCTTTCCAGAGCCCTCTTCTAGGCCTCTTCTAGTGAATTCTAGAGAGTGGTGAAAAATTAACGGAAATATGAATATAAATGTCTATGAGTAAAGAGGGATACTTAGTAACTAAATATCCACTTTTAAAGTTATTTAGTATTGTTTAACAGGAGTTTTTATTTGAAGTTTTCTTTATTCTATAAGATAATTTTTTTTTTTTCTTTTTGAGACAGAGTCTCGAACTGTTGCCCGGGCTGGTGTGCAGTGGCGCAATCTTGGCTCACTGCAACCTCCGCCTCCCAGGTTCAGCCTCCCAAGTAGCTAGGATTACAGGTGCCCACCACCATGCCTAGTTAATTTAAAAAAAAATTTTTTTAATTTTTATTTTTAGTAGAGATGGGGTTTCACTATCTTGGCCAGGCTGATCTCAAACTCCTGACCTCATGATCTGCCCAGCTCGGCCTCCCAAAGTGCTGGGAATACAGGTGTGAGCCACCACACTCGGCCAAGACAATTTTTAAAAAAAATGAAAATGAAAGTTCTTTTTTAAAAAAAGCATACAACTTATACAATCCAACTCCATAATTATATAGAGACTAATATTTCCCTTACTCATTTCTGGTATAAGAAAGCACTGTAGTGGCCAGGTGTGGCTCATGCCTGTTATCCTAGCACTTTGGGAGGCCAAGGCGGGCAAATTGCCTGAGCTCAGGAGTTCAAGATGAGCCTAGGCAACATGGAGAAACCCCATCTCTACTAAAATACAAAATATGGCCAGGTACAGTGGCTCACACCTGTAATACTAGCACTCAGTAAGACTGAGGCAGGCAGATCACCTGAGGTCAGGAGTTCAAGACCAGCCTGGACAACATAGTGAAACCCTGTGTCTACAAAAAATACAAAAAAATTAGCTGAGTGTGGTGGCACACGCCTGTAGTCCCAGCTACTTGGGAGGCTGAGGCAGGAGAATTGCTTGAATCCTGGAGGTGAAGGTTGTAGTGAGCTGAGATCTTGTCACTGCATTCCAGCCTGGGTGACAGAGCAAGGCTCTGTCTCAAAAAAAAAAAAAAAAAGCTGGCATGCTGGTGTGCACCTGTAGTCCCAGCTACTTGGGAGGCTGAGGCACAAGAATTGCTTGAATCTGGGCAGGTGGAAGTTGCAGTGAGCCGGGATCACACCACTGCACTCCAATCCAGCCTGGGTGATAGAGCAAGACTCTGTCTCCAAAAAAAATAGAAAAAAAGAAAGCACTGTGGCAACTGTGACATAAAATCAAATTACACTGGGTGTGGTGGTATGCGCCTGTAGTCCTAGCTACTTGGGAGGCAGAGGTGGGAGGATCACTTGAGTCCAGGAGTTGGAGGCTGGCCTGGGCCATATAGCAAGACCAGGTCTGTGATATAAATAAATAATAAGACATAAGGCCAACATTTCAGAAAAGATATTACTTTTTGTCATTTCCAAAGACACATACTGATTGCCCCTGGAGAAGAGCTTAGGTTTTGTTTGTTTGTTTATCTTAGCAACCAGGGGCTGTTTAGGCAGAATTTAAATCTGTCCCTGACCCTCATCTCTATGTAGACTTGTGGTAGAAATCACAGAGCCCAGTCCTGGACAGCTAAGCTATTATGGAAACATCCAGATCCCCTTAGTGGAAAGAAACACTTAATGAGTAATTTAAGGAGAGTGTAATAAAGGGCCTATTACAAAGCTTTGGGTAGGTTTTAGAGAATCCAGTTTTATTGGGGATAGTGCAGTATGCTGGCACTAGCAAAAGCAGGGAGTTGTTACTGCCCCTAGTTCTAAAGAGGCAAAGGAGGAATTCTTACTGGGACATGAAGAGGTTGGCTACAGTAGTTTGCTAGGATTCCCATAAAGTACTACGGACTGGATGGCTTAAGCGTAGAAATTTATTTTCGCACAGTTCTGGAGGCTGGAAGTCCAAGATCAAAGTTTCAGCAGGGTTGATTTCATCCTGAGGCATTTCTCCTTGACTGGTATCTGGCTGTCTTCTCCTTCTGTCCTCACATGGTCTGTCCTCTGTGTGGACACGTGTCTGTGTTCTAACCCTCGACACCAGTCCTACTGGATTAGGGCCCACACATATCACCTCTTTTTACCCTAATTACTTGTCTAAAGGTCCTATCTCCAAATACAGTCACATTCTGAGGTACTGGGAGATAGGGCTTCAACATAGGAATTTTGGGAGCACAATTCAGCCCCTAATAGTAGCTGTGTGGAGGAATGATCATGACAGGAGCTATGAACTTTGGGAGAGACTTGGAGAAACAAATGGAAGATATCCAGCTCATTGCACTACCCAGGATGTCCACCTCAGTAGCTGGGAATAATTTAGAGTGCTTGAATAATAACAATAATCACCATTTTTTATTTATTTAATTTTTTGAGACGGGGTCTTGCTCTGTCACCCAGGGTGGGGTGCAGTGGCATGATCTCAGCTCACTGCAACCTCCGCCTCCCAGGCTCAAGCAATTCTTCTGCCCCAGCCTCCTGGCGTAACTGGGATTACAGGCGCCTGCCACCAAGCTCAGCTAATTTTTTTTTTTTTTTTTGTATTTTTAGTAGAGACAGGGTTTCACCATATTGGCCAGGCTGGTCTCATCCTCCTAACCTCAAGTGATCTGCCCACCTCAGCCTCCCAAAGTACTGGGATTACAGGCGTGAGCCATCATGCCCGGCCAATTATCACCATTTATTGAGTGCTTATTTCCTGCCTGGCATTATGATAGGCCTTTTCCATGTTAACTCATTTAAGTCCTCACAACCACCCTAGGAAGTCAGTTTATTAACCACATATTACAAGTGAAGATAAAATTTAGCAAGTTCTAGTAACATTTCCAAAGTCATGCAGGTGGGAAGTGGCAAAGCCAAGATAGAACCCAAGCTGTCCATTTCTTCTCAACCCTAACACTATATTGCTTCTCTCCCATATAATATCAATGGATTGGCGACACAGTCACAGAAAGCTACAAGAGCGTTCTCAAGAGTAGTCACTGGCCATCACACATTTGAAAACAGGAGTCATCTAAACCAAAATAACAGCCATTCCATTTTTCATGTAAAGACACATATTCTGAACTCTGTACTCTACGTATGTGATAGTTTGGCGTACACAGGGCATGGTCTCTTTCCGTAGGAAGCTTAGCATCAGGTTGAAAAGACATAGCAGACATAAATGAAACATGTCCTGAATAAAAGAATGTTATCATATGTGTTAATTGTCCAGTATCATTAGTGGTCACAATGGGGTAGAGTTAGGTAAAGTGAGGAAGAGGAGGAGATTGGCGTGTGGGAAGGATTCACAGAGCAGGGGGGCTTGTGCTCTGCTTTTAGGATACAGGGGACACCAATGTGGGGAGTAAAGTAGACAGGATATATGGGGAAAAGAGAGATGAGGCTGGATCATGGATGGCACGGAAAGCCTGCTGAAGGGCTGGGACTTGATCAGTCCTAAACAATGGAGTGACATTTATTTTTTAATTTTTATTTTTGAGACAGGGTCTTGTTCTTTTGCTCAGGCTGGAATGCAGTGGCATGGCCACAGCTCACTGCAGCCTCTACCTCCCATGCTTAACCCATCTTCCTGCCTCACCCGCCCGGGTAGCTGGGACTACAAGTTCATGTCACCATGTCCGGCTAATTTTTTGTATTTTTTGTAGAGATGGAGTCTCACCATATTTCCCAGGCTGGTCTTGAACTCTTGGGTTCAAGTGATCTGCCTGCCACAGCCTCCCAAGTGCTGGGAATACAGGCATGAGCCACCGTGCCTGGCCTGGAGTGACATTTAGGACAAGTAATCTGGGAGCAGTGCAGCTGAATCACATAACCCCTCCCCAGGGACACTCTCCCTGAGTCACCCATTCCAGTATATAATCCTTCCCATCAAGAGCACCTTGTAAATACACATGTGCACGCGCGTGTGCACACACACACACACACACGCTGCAGTATAAGCCTGAGCCCAAGAAGGGCCTTCTTATTTGGTTTCTTATAAAATAAAAAAGAACTGATCTTTCTCCTTTTAAAATATCCCTTCAAAAACTTGAACACTGATAGTAAATATCAGTCTTTTCAAGGCCTAAGAGTTCTACTTCTGACTTTTATCATAAACCTCTTCCCTACCATTTCAGTAATTGTTTTTGTGACTGTTCCTTGGCTCTGCTCCAAGTTTCATACAATCCTTTTGAAACATATAGATCGAAACTGGACATAATACCATAATAATGACCTCACTAATGCAAGTAAAGCACCACAATTGTATCTCAGTTACTTGTATGCCACACATCCATTAAAATGTTCCAGAATTATGTTTGCCTTTCAAATTTCTAAATTACAGATGTATAATGTATGTATATTGCTGGCTTATATCCAACTTAGTGGTATACTGTGTCACTCAGATTTTTAAAAACCTGATTATTGTGTAGCCATAGATATATTTTGATGTGTATCAGAATATCCTAATTATGGACATAATATTAACTACTTAAATGCCTACTAATGTTGAAATAGGGACTATTTTCAGAAAATTATATTTTGTTTTTTAGACCCATGTGCTCCTCCTTGCAAAAAGCATTAGTTAAGTTTTGGAGCTTGAAATGTATCTAGTATCGTGTTTTCTTCTGCTCTGCATCTTGAGAGAACCTCTCAGTAAGGGCCAGCTCCCTCATCTTTTTCTTGCAGATTGACATATTTGAGGATAGAATCCGAGGCATTGATATCATTAAATGGATGGAGCGCTACCTTAGGGATGTAAGTACATTCCAAAAATCAGAAGTTGTTTTCTGGTGAGGAAGACAATGAGCTTACGAAGTTGTTTTATGAAAGAAACCCTGGCATACCCACCTAAGTCTGAAGCTGAGAAAACCCCAACAAAGCCTCCCTTGTTGGAAGCTGTGCAAAGACTTGGAAAGGAAGGATGGGGTCGCCCTCTTGGACATGCACAGGCAGGAAATAACGGTCAAACCAGACACAGGTGGTTGATAACAATCAGAGGAAACAATCTTTTGACGAGAATAGGAAAGAAGGAAATGAAGGCGGAGAGTGGGGAGAGAGCAGCAGAATTCAATTTAATCTGAGGCCACCCCAAGTGTTTTGTAGAACTGGGCGGAAGAGGTTTCCCGGGCAGCCTCGCAGGCTGCACAGCACACCACCCCCGAGGTGCCCACGCGCAGCCCCGTGATTTGTTCTCCACTGACAGAATCTATACCGGCCACTGGGACACGTTGTGCTTTAACAAGATCGAAATTGATTGCTGCCAGCGTGTCCGTGTCAGCTGCTTCTTTCGGAGGGAGCTGGTGGGGGACGGGAGTCTCAGCAGGCTGGGGTTTTGCACTTTTCCTTTTGTCTGCAGCCTGATGTTTGCTTTGTGCTGAAGGGTCTGTTCCTACCGACTGTGCTAATGTGTACACGCAGAAGACAGGGCAGTCAAGAGTGCAGTGACTGGCAGCTCAGAACCAGCTGGGGGGAGGAAGGGTGCTTCTCACCGTTGGTGTTGCAGTGCCTTTTTGCCACTCCCTCAGTGATTCGGGCTTTCATTAGAGGTTCATTAATGATGGTTGTGGACAATGGTAGGCAAAAGCACATCTCTTTGGGAGAGCCTCTCTCTGAACCATTTGCTCTGCATGTTCGAGGAGGGGCTGGGCTGGAGACGGAGGGAGAAGCAGAGACAAGAATCTGCCTGAGTGGGGGCCAGTGCTTCTCTTTCTACGGAGGATGAGCCTGGCCCTCTATCCCCAGTGTGTCAGAGAATGCCCACAGTCCTGCTGGCCAGTTTCCAGCCCACCTTCACCAAATGGACCACACTTTACACTCCCATAAACATGCCTTTCTCCCTCTCATTAACAGAAGACCGTGATGATAATCGTAGCAATCAGCCCCAAATACAAACAGGATGTGGAAGGCGCTGAGTCGCAGTTGGACGAGGATGAGCATGGCTTACATACTAAGTACATTCATCGAATGGTGAGTGGGGAGGAGATCACAGCACCTCACTGTCCCCTGGGGATGGATACCTTGTCCAGGGAAGTCCCATTCTTCCCCAGAGACCAACTGAAGGCAGCATGATGCTGGGTGAAGAGCACCAGGCCTGCAGTGTCAGGAGAGGGGCTGTTGTTTCTGGCTCCATCTACGTTAGGGACTGTGGGCAAGGCACTGCATCTCTGGGACTCAGTTGTTCCTATCAGTTGCAAGGGGAGAGCAATCTGTGATCTCTAGGATCCAAGATTCTGGAAAGACATGATCTGCTGGCTTAGCTGTTTACCAGCAACTATGAAGTCCTAGGAGGCGGGAGACAGGGCAGTAAGGAGGACTGGCTCCTGCAGCTGTATCATGTTCTGTGCCCCACCTTTTCAGAAAGGCAGGTGGCATAGTGAAAGGGACACCTGCTGTTGCATCACGTGGGCCTGGTTAAAGTTGGCTTCCTCATGTACAAGCTGTGTGGTCATGGCTCCGCTGCTTAAACTCTTTGTGCCTCAATGTCCCTATTCACAAAATGGGTTGCTAATACTTACAGGGTTGTCGTGAAGATGAAATGAGATCATGTTTTCAAAATATCTGGTGCATATCAGATGCTCAAACAAGGGAAGGGAGTGTTCTTAGCTCATGACAGGTGGGGAACTATGGGGCCTGGTTATACTCAAATCAGTGGGAGACATTGATGATATTCAACTTGCTCAGCATGGGATCAAACTAGAACATTTGACCGAAACAATCACCCAGCTTTGGAACTGGCTGTCTTATGGGCTACCACTCCTCCTGCTCCCCGCGATCATAGAGACGCTGTGGAGACAGTTTCTGCTTGACGAGGATACACTGCTACACTTGTGATTTTCAGGCTGTCCTGTGGAGTTCCCAATGGGTGTCCATACGTGCTGGAGGAGGGGCTGGGTCTGTGCCTCCCACCCCCACCTCAGCCAGAGCTGGTTCGTACTTCTCAGGCTTGTTAGTTGACCGAGGATTCTGAGATTTTAAAAGGCTTGGAAAATCACTGGACTAGAACTGATAAGCTCCATTTCAGCTCTAACACTCCATGAGGCGGAAGGCACCTGGAATGGGCATAGAGTGTCACTAAGACGGGAAGATGGGGAGGACACAGTCAGGCTGTCTCGGGGCACACAGCTTTATCTCAGGGGAAGCAGACATAGGTCCCAGGTCTATCCTGTGGGTCAGCAGCGTGGGAAAGGAGCAGGGTGGGTATTCCCATCTGAGTTTTCACGGTCTCTGTCTTCCTTTCCACCAAGTGCAGACCACTCGTGTGAGCTCATACCCAAGCCGAAGGAAGAGCCGAGGCAAGGGGATGAGGTTAAAAAATGAGGCCAGGGAGTCAGGAGATAAGGCTCCCTCCTCTTCTGGTCTCAACCAGTCTCACAGCCCTTGTACAGTGCTCTGGAAAGGTATCATTTCTGGGAGTAAACTGCCTTAAAAGGTCATGGCTGGCTCTGGGTGCTGCCGGCCCCTGGTTGTCTGATGCATGACTGCATGGCCTCAGAGCACCCTATGTCCTGTCTGCATCTCTAGCAACCTGCCAGTCCCAGAAGCTGACAGCTGGTGCGTGGGAAGGGCTCGAGTCCTCAGCCAGTTCCTAAGGAAACCTGTCTAGCTCTGTGGGTGTGTGGTGTAGCCAGGCAGTAATACACAGCTTGGCCTCAGAGCTTGTCTGACTGTACCAACTGGAACCAGACTGTCTCTAAACTTGGTTTCTTGGGCCACAATGTCTTGGGCCCTTACTCATCACAGAAGGGGTCGAAGAGGTCAGATACAGAAGTGCCTTCCTGCCTGCCTGGCTGACTTCCTGGACCCCTCTAGGCAACAGAAAACCCTGGAACAATAAGAACTTGGCCATGACAGAGGTAGTGCAGAGGTACTGGTGAGTAACTGCATCATAGAGTGAATTAGTTTACAGAAACTCAGTATCTGGAAGGATGAGAGAAAATAAAAATGCACTGCTGCTGGCTGGCCCCTCCACAGGCTGGGCAGCCTAGTGCACAAGCCAAACTTCACAGTATACGGAGTCCTTCACAGTATACGGAGTCCTAGAAGTCAGACAAAACGCAGCGCTTCACTTGTAACTAACTTATGTACCCCATCCCCTTCCTTTCATGTGTACTTGGTGCTGGAGTGGTGGGTGCTTCTAGCTGCACAGTACTTGGGTCATTTTAAAATATGTTCTTGGTGTTATCTTCTGGTTTTTGGAGAGAGGTGATTCCGAGAACACACCCTGTGGAGGATTTGTGTGTGTTGTGTGATCGTGTATGTGTGTTTGTGTATGCAAGTATGTGAGAGTGTGTGTTTATGAGGGGTTTCTATGGTGATTTCAATAACGGCCATCACCACTGTCACTTTCTTCTCTGTTCTGTTATTTCCATGCACAATGAAAACTTCTCAGTTATAAAAATGAATTGGAAGATGAAATGGTTGGAAACACATAATTCCTCGTCTCCTCATCAGATGACCGAAAGCTTTGTGCTGGTCACAGGATTTGGAAGACTCTAACTCCTATTGAAAATTCTGATTTTTGAGAGAGCTCTTGGTAGCTAAATCCTCTTGGGCTACCGCAGTGTCAGAGCATATTGGAACTGGTGTGAGGAACCTAAAGCCTGGCCGACGGAGCTCTTCACAGTTGACAGCCCCTCTATGCCAAGCCCATCTTGTGCTCCAGCCACAGTGCATTAGTAGCTGGTCCCAACCACATCAACACACTTTCACACCTCCAGACATTTGCTCATGCTGTTGCTTCTGCTATGAAGGTCCTTCTCCTTGCCTCTATTCTCCCTACCTGGCCAAAATATTTTCTTTCAGTGCCCAAATGAACCCTCTTTTGTAACTGTCCTTCCAGTCTCCGATGTAGAATGGATGGCCCCCACTCTGGGCTTCCGGAGCAGTTGTTCAGACTTCTCACCCTGCACTTTGGTTGCTAATTTCCCTTTCTGCCTGCCCACTAGACTGCTGGCTTTGTGAAGATAGGGACTGTATCTGTGGTGTTCTGCTAAGCTGGCTCTCCTGATTTGTAGCACTTACCTATTTCCATGGTATAAATACTCTCCAATATCATCGCCAGTTTCAAGCTATCAGGTAAAGTCACTGAACACAGAATTAGGAAGAGGTGCACACAACCAGCTTTTGTGAGCTGCTGCAAGCCAGTTCCAGCATACCCTGGAAGGTGTATCCTAATCCTTAAAACCCAAAGTCTGACATAGAATGTGACTTCTAATAGGCCACCAATAATCAACTGATGAGTGAATGGAATAGATGTGTAATGGGGAGGCCTTAAAATGCTAAGTGGGGAAGTATGGAATCAGAAGAAAAATGCCATGGGACGTGCATGATTATGGGTACCATTAACTCCTCATCCTCATTCCTGAAATTAAACCTTCACATTTGTTTGGTTTCAGATGCAGATTGAGTTCATAAAACAAGGAAGCATGAATTTCAGATTCATCCCTGTGCTCTTCCCAAATGCTAAGAAGGTAAACAAACAAAGAAAGAAAATCCTCATAATTCAATCTTTGGTTTGCTTTGCCATCTGGGATTTTAAGTGGAAAACCTTGTCCATTCTTTTTTTCTTTCTTTTCTTTTTTCTCTTTTTGATATGGAGTCTCGCTGCGTTGCCCAGCCTGGAATGCAATGATGCGACCTTGGCTCACTGCAACCTCTGCCTCCTGGGTTCAAGTGATTCTCCTGCTTCAGCTTCCCAAGTAGCTGGGATTACAGGTCCCCGCCATCACGCCTGGCTGATTTTTGTATTTTTAGTAGAGATGGGGTCTCTTCATGTTAGCCAGGCTGGTCTTGAACTCCTGACCTCAGGTGATCTGCCTGCCTCAGCCTCCCAAAGTGCTGGGATTACAGGCGTGAACCACCGTGTCTGCCCTCAATTCTTTATCAATCCTTAAAGATAACAATGTTACCAGAAAGCTCAACAAGTTGTACCACTCAGTTCAGCAGCATGAATCTGAAAGGTTTTAAAGCTATCTGATAGGATCACTGCTGTCCTAATTGTTCAAAGAACCATTGCACACAAAGTTTCTGTTTTAACTCAAGAGAGAAAAAGAGAAGGTTCATGTGATACTTCTTATCTCTTGTACATAAAAGTTGAGATGTGTATGGTTTTCGCTGGCTGTTCCAGGGAGGCATTTCACTGCACATAGTTCAGCTCTCAAAGCTAATGATTACAGGAATTAAATCTACAGTTACCAGAGTGAACTTTGCTGTGATTCATATGAGGCTTTTCACACCAGAAGGGTCTGCCAGTAACTTTGGAGAATGGGGGCAAAACCATCTGAGGCCACATTCCAGGTGTGGCAAAGGGAAGGCGGCAGTGGAGTAAACATGCTGAGAATCAGACCACAGCATCCTCAACTCAGACCCTGTTTCACCCTGGAGGGATCCTCAGATATCAAGACTGCACTGAGACCTCTGCCCTGGATGAGGGAGGCTCCAGTTTATGGGAATGGGACACTCAGACTGCATGATGCACAGCCTGTACAATGGCATACCTTTCTATCCTCCCTGCGCTGCCTTTGCCCAGAGTTTCACTGCTCTCACTTACCTTTGAGTCTCCTTACTGGTCTCATCTCCACTTTGACCTTGTGCTAGCCATCCTCTGCTCTGCCATCAAAGACAAACATCCAAAATGTAGGTCTGATCTGTTTCTTGGTAGCTTAAAAATTGTGTGCTGTTTTCCCATTGACTACAAGATCATATCTACCTTTCTTAGCATGAGCTATGAGACCTCTCAGAAGAGGACAGTGTCCCCTTGTGTAGATTTCTCTCATCATTCTCTGTAGATGCTCTGTGCTCTGATCACCCTGGACCACTTCAGCATGCTCTCACACATGCTGTGTTCTTTTGTATCTCTGTGCCTTTGCCTTTTCTGTTCCATCTGCTTGCGATGCCCTTCCCTAACTCGCCTGCCTAGTGAATTCTTACTTACCCTTATATCACCCAATCTCTCTAGCCTCCCCAACACCTCTTTTGCTTGTTTGTTTGTTTGTTTTGAGACGGGGTCTTGCTCTGTCCTCAGGCTGGAGTGCAGTGGTGTGATCTTGGCTCACTGCAACCTCCGCCTCCCGGATTCAAGTGATTCTCCTCTCACAGCCTCTCAAGTAGCTGGGACTACAGGGACATGCCACTATGCCCAGCTAATTTTTGTGTTTTTCGTGGAGACAGGGTTTCACCATGTTGGATAGGATGGTCTCGTTCTCTTGACCTTGTGATCCACCCGCCTAGGCCTCCCAAAGTGTGTGTGTGTTTCTTTCTTTCTTTCTTTCTTTCTTTCTTTCTTTCTTTCTTTCTTTCTTTCTTTCTTTCTTTCTTTCTTTCTTTCTTTCTTCTTTCTTTCTTTCTTTCTTTCTTTCTTTCTTTCCTTTCTTTCCTTTCTTTCCTTTCTTTCCTTTCTTTCCTTTCTTTTTTTTTGAGAAAGGGTCTTCCTCTGTCACCCAGGCAGGAGTGCAATGGTGCAATCTTGGCTCACTGCAACCTCCACTTCCCAGGTTCAAGCAATTCTCCTGCCTCAGCCTCCCAAGTAGCTGGGGTTATAGGCGCTCGCCACCATGCCTGGCTAATTTTTGTATGTTTAGTAGAGACAGGGTTTCACCATGTTGACCAGGCTGGTCTTGAACTCCTGATCTCAGGTAATCCGCTTTCCTTAGCCTCCCAAGTGCTGGGATTACAGGCGTGAGCCACTGCGCCCTGCCCTGACACCTCTTTACCTCCATGCTGATATATTTCATTGTCCTTTTCTTAAGAGCGCTTAATTCTAGCACCTTGGATCAATGGTATGTGTTTGGGTTGAGGGTACTGGGAATAATTGTTTAGAATTATTGGAGCATGGTGGTATAAAAAATAGACCAAATTTTCATTGGTTTTGTTATTATTTTTAAATGTCCTTCAGAGAATGCCCATATTGCCTGAGCTCAGCACAGGCCGCTCTCACCACCTGTCCCCTTGGTACACTATTGACTAGAAAATCGTTTGTTGACATTTTGCTTTCATCCTAAGATTTGAAGTCCTCAAGGCAGTCCCTGCGTCCTTTTCATTTGGGCATCCTCAGTACTCAGCATGATGCCTGCCATGCAGCAGGTGCTGCTTCTAAGCACATCCTACAGTACCTAGAGGAGTCCCGCCCTATAGTCCCTGGGAGTTAGACTCAAAAGCAAAGGCCTTACCGAGGCCTACAGGGTGCTATCCGATACAGCCCCTTCTACTTCCTCCGCACGTACTCACTCTGCTCTACTCACTGTAGCCTTGTTGCTTGTGACCAGGCCCAACACACTCCCTCTACAGGGCCTTCGCGCTGGCTCTTCTAGCTGCCTGGACCCAGACAACCACAGAGCTTGCTTCTTCCACTCTTTTAGGTCTTTGCTCGTTTTCTCAGTGAGACCTCTCCTAAGCACCCTATTTAAAACTGCAAATCTTTCACCCTTGCCCCAGCACTCCCTGTCCCCTTTCTTGTTTAATTCTTCTCCACAGCATGCGTGGAGAACACACTATCCATTTTACTTATGATCTGCCTCTCCCCACCAGAATATCGGCTCCATGAGGGCAATCTGACACTGCACCCCCAGGATCCCTGGCTAACAGTTTCTGCCTCTGCCTGATCACTGAGGTCTGATGGGCTCCCTCTACTGCAGGCCAGACCTGGGGCTGGAGTGAAAGGGCAATTCATTGATTTAAGCCTACAGCCCTGGCATACTTCTTCTGAAGTCACAGGGGAATTCACGTCACTCTGTGTGACCTCTGTCCTACCCCTTTTATGTGAGGGTGGTGAAAAGCACGTTGAAATGCAAAGGGTAGGTAGCCTGGGAGACTGACAGAAAATGCTGTGCACATGTGGTTTTTATAATGAGATATACAGCTTGTACCCGGAGCCAAGAACATTTCACATGCTAAACCTTTCCAAAAGCAAAACAGCACAACTCCCAGGATAGTTTGGTAGGAAACGCCCATGTAGGGAAAGCCAGAAATATTTGGGAACGGAGCCTGGGATCTGGAATCCAGGTTTTTCTCTAATGACCTTTGCTCCTGTCATTCTGTCTCCCATAGGAGCATGTGCCCACCTGGCTTCAGAACACTCACGTCTACAGCTGGCCCAAGAATAAAAAAAACATCCTGCTGCGGCTGCTGAGAGAGGAAGAGTATGTGGCTCCTCCACGGGGGCCTCTGCCCACCCTTCAGGTGGTTCCCTTGTGACACTGTTCATCCCCAGATCACTGAGGCTAGGCCATGTTTGGGGCCCTGTTCTGACAGCATTCTAGCTGAGGCTGGTCGGTAGCACTCCTGGCTGGTGTTTTCTCTGTTCCTCCCCGAGAGGCCCTCTGGCCCCCAGGAAACCTGTTGTGCAGAGTTCTTCCCCGGAGACCTCCACACACCCTGGCTTTGAAGTAGAGTCTGCGGCTGCTCTGCATTCTCTGCTTTTAAAAAACCCATTGCAGGTGCCAGGGTCCCACATGTTCCTCCTGACAGTTTGATGTGTCCATTCTGGGCCGCTCAGTGCTTAGCAAGTAGATAATGCAAGGGATGTGGCAGCAAATGGAAATGACTACGAACACTCTCCTATCACTTCAGGCTACTTTTATGAGTTAGCCAGATGCTTGTGTATGCTCAGACCAAACTGATTCATGTACAAATAATAAAATGTTTACTCTTTTGTAAGAATATGTTTTACTTATCTCAAAGGAGATAGATACATATAATTTGTAATGATATGGTTGCTTCCAGGGACATCAACAAAACTGCTTAGATATAATATTAGATAAATATAACAGACCACTCTGTATTAAAGGATTAAAGCCAGCTAGTTAAACAACCCTTTTTAACCATAATCATAGAAGGTTTATTCTTGCAATAAAGATTTTTAGGCTGGGCGCAGTGGCTCACACCTGTAATCCCAGCACTTTCGGAAGCTGAGGCAGACGGATCATTTGAGGTCAGGAGTTTGAGACCAGCCTGGCCACCATGTTGAAACCCCATCTCTGCTAAAAATACAAAAAAGTTAGCTGGGCATGATGGTGTGCACCTGTAATCCCAGCTACTTGGGAGGCTGAGGCAGGAGAATAGCTTGAACCTGGGAGGCAGAGGTTGCAGTGAGCCGAGATCATGCCACTGCACTCTAGCTTGGGAGACACAGCGAGACTCCGTCTCAAACAAACAAACAAACAAAAACACCCATTTTTAACAAAACAACTTTATATAGCATATAACCATGATTCTAAATAGTATGATTACGGTTCTCAGGATCTGACTACATAGGTAAAAATATTTGCATATGTATATGAAGTGACGGGGAATGTAGGCTAGAATTATAGTCTGTGTTCTAATTTTGGTTCTACCACCAATTAGCTGTGTGACCTTTAGCAAGTCCTTTCACTTTTCTTAGATTCCAGGGACTTATTTATAAAATGACATGGACAAAAGCATCTCTAATCACTCTAAAAGATTTGAAGTCTAAATTCTAAATATTCTTTTGAGGAGTGACTGAGTTTTCATTTTCATAATTATGTCTTTCAGAGGATAAATTTACATTTTCTTAACAGAGACATTTTCTTCTTCTTCTTTTTTTTTTTTGAGACAGTCTCACTCTGTAGTCCAAGCTGGAGTGCAGTGGTGCAATCTCGGCTCACTGCAACCTGCGCCTCCTGGGTTCAAGTGATTCTTCTGCCTCAACCTCCTGAGTAGCTGGGCCTACAGGCACCTGCCACCATGCCCGGCTAAGTTTTGTATTTTTAGTAGAGACGGGGTTTCATATTGGCCAGACTGGTCTCAAACTCCTGACCTTGTGATCCGCCCGCCTCAGCCTCCCAAAGTGCTGGGATTACAGGTGTGAGCCACCATGCCCAGCCAACATATTCCTCTTTTAAAAAATATCTTCTCACACCTGTAATCCTAGCACTTTGGGAGGCCGAGGCAGGTGGATCACAAGGTCAGGAGATCAAGACCATCCTGGCTAACACGGTGAAACCCCGTCTCTACTAAAAATACAAAAATATTAGCTGGGCATGGTGGCAGGCACCTGTAGTCCCAGATACTGGGGAGGCTGAGGCAGGAGAATGGTGTGAACCCGGGAGGCCGAGCTTGCAGTGAGCCAAGATCGTGCTGCTGCACTCCAACCTGGGCGACAGAGTGAGACTCTGTCTCAAAATAAATAAATAAATAAATAAATAAATCTTCAACAGTACCCTCGGGTTGATAATTTTGGATATCTATCTGTATCTATATATCTTGTTTATCTGGTCTCCAGAAAAAGAACACATACACATATCCATATATAAAGTATGTATACATGTATCAAATCTACATAAACTGTAAAGGTGGGATGGCTTTAATTATGGCCAAAGCTACTAAGCCAGTGAAGACTTTTTGGGGCTGAAAGCTGCTGCTTCCCCTTCTTTATCAACTAGCCTCTTAAACAAGGCTCACTTGTGCTACAAGACAGTCCACCTTTTCTTTTTCTTTTTTTTGAGACACGGTCTCACTCTTTCCCAGGCTGCAGTGCAGTGACACAGTCTCAGCTCACTGAAGCTTTGACCTTGCCGGGCTCAGGTGATCTTCCTACTTCAGCCTCCCAAGTAGCTGGGACTATAGGTGTGCACCAACATGCTTGGTTAAGTTTTGTATTTTTTGTAGAGACAGGGTTTTACCATGTTGTCCAGGCTAGTCTCGAACTCCTGGGCTAGAGTGATTCATCTGTTTCGGCCTCCCAGAGTTCTGCGATTACAGACGGGAGCCGCCACGCCCAGCCCAGTCCAACTCTTATATGTCAGCACAGGGAAAGGACAAATACTTGTCGACTCTAAATAAGAAACATTGCTAATGCATTGCAAAGAACAATAGTTCCATTTACTTTATGACTTAGATGTCTGCTGGGCGAGACGAATGTCTTTGTTCTTTAAAAAATAGGAAAAGAGAAGAAAAACTAGCATAACATAAGTACTCATTTGTAAGACTTTATGACATGTAACATAAGTTCCGTAGTTTTGAGACCGGGTAGAACTGACTTTCTTATTTGGATAACCTGGAAAACATCCCAAACACAAATTTCAAGTCTTCTTTCTCTTTTTTCATTATCTCTTGTAGTCTGAGATGACACCATCATTAAGGATTCGACACACATTTGTAAATAAAATGACATCAGCAATTACTCTAAAATGTTTCTAGTTTGCAAAGATTTAGTAATGTGATGTTATTAACCCTTCCTCCCTTCAGAGACCTGTCCTAAGCTCTGAGCCACTCATTCCTTCCACTCTTCCTACCCCAGGAGGTTGATGAACAGTGGTCCCTGGTGTTCCACAAAGAGTCATTAAAGTGTTACAGCTGGTAGCACCGGTAGCAAAAAAACAAACCAAACAAAAAGTACACACAGACACACACACATACACATACACACACACACGCACTTGGCCAGGTGATGAAAGCTTGGCCCCTGAAATTTCTATGAGATCCAATGACCACCAACATCAAAGCACTTTTTTTTTTTTTTTTTTTTTTTGAGATGGAGTCTCAGTGTGTCACCCAGGCTGGGGTGCAGTGGCACAATCACAGCTCACTGCAACCTCCGCCTCCCGGATTCAAGTGATTCTCCTGCCTCAGCGTCTCGAGTAGCTGGGACTACAGGCGCCCGCCACCACGCCCAGCTAATTTTTCTGTATTTTTAGTAGAGACGGGGTTTCACCGTGTTAGCCAGGATGGTCTCCATCTCCTGAGCTTGTGATCCGCCCGCCTCGGCCTCCCAACGTGCTGGGATTACAGGCGTGAGCCACCGCGCCCGGCCCATCAAAGGAATTGTAACAACTATTTGAGAGCACTGACAGTAAGATTAACACTTGGTTGATTTAGATGTTATGCTGGTCCTCAGGCATTCATCTTTAGATACTTTTTGGGGTGGAAGTGGGGTAGGGCTGACTTAGTAAAAATAACCTCTTAGCCCCAAGGCTTTATTCAGACCTACACTGATAGGAGGGGTGGGTTTGTGGAATGAAAGGTTAGGTTCTTATTTAATATTTAATGACTAATTTAGAATTTTAAATGTAATTTTTAATTTTAGTGACTGGTTTCAAATCTATTTTGACTTCTAGATTGTTCAAAGAGGTCTCAGTACATGGCTACAATCATAGCTACGAATAGCTATTAGACTAGCTATTTCTCAGCTCAGTGCTCAGAAAAATTATTGCTATTGATACCGTTTTCTTTGTTTCCTGGTAAATAAATCACCTCTTTAAAGACAGAATTTTTCTCGGAGTCATCTGAGCAAGGGATGCAAGTTCTCCATTTTGAACATTCCACCCTAGTTTCGTGATGTTTTGCCAAGAGCATTTTTCTTTACCCCAGCTGCTTCGTCAACTACCTCATCCACTTTGCCAAACACCCCATTGTCACCACCACCTTTGCCAAGTGGATTGCAAAGTCCTATGATCATGGGCAATGATCCAGAAAGAGTCTCTGAAAACACAGGATCTTTCTGTTTCTTCTTAATGAACCAGGAAGAATCAGTGAGACCCACCTCCTAGTGGCAAATGAAAAGAGAAGGAAGGTTACACTGTGGGAAAATACCACAGAGAAGAAATGCCTCTCATCCCAGAGAATTATGCACTATTTTTCAAGATAAATAGTTCTACTTTAGCCTACTAACCAAATAAACAACAACCACCAAAGGGGTAAAAAAAGGAAGAAAGCACAAAAATCAATTAAATTATCAGATCATTTATTTCTGTTATGGAACTTTCAGTCTAGAAAGAGACGCTAGAAAACATACCCCTGCAGCTTTGTTTTATACACAAGGAAAGCAGGGCCCAGAGCAGCCGTGGCTTGTCTAAGTTCATCCTAGGACTAGAACCCGGATGTTCTGATTTCCAGACTGCAGACATTTATTTGATGAATCTAGAAAGCTTTCTGGTTTTTCACAGTAGATGTGTTCAACAAATGACCTGCCTCCTGAGGAGATACTTCCCTCTCCAAGGGAAGAAGTACCTCCTTTCTCTAGTGACTGGAGGATTAAATGATCATGTTGCAACTTGTTCTGTTGGAAATTCTTTGGGGAATTAATTATTGCTGTGATTATATGAAGTATGACTTTTCTTGAAGTGGCTTGGCATATTTATCTTATACTGGTATTATATGAAACGGAGGCACAATATAAAAGGTCTTGACACATGCCTGATGCTTACAGGCAAAGTCTGCTATTGGTCAGATCAACTTATTTATTTAGAGACATGGTCTTGCTCTGCCACGCAGGCTGGAGTGCAGTGGCATGATCACGGCTTACTGAAGCTTCAACCTCCCGGGCTCAATTGATCCCCCCGCCTCAGCCTCTTGAGTGGGCAGGTTGCCTGAGGTCAGGAGTTCGAGACCAGTGAAACCCTGTCTCTACTGAAAATATGAAAAAAATTAGCTGGGCATGGTGGCACATGCCTGTAATCCCAGCTACTTGGGAGGCTGAGGCAGGGGAATTGCTTGAACCAGGGAGGTGGAGGTTGCAGTGAGCAGAGATCATGCTACTGCACTCCAGCCTGGGCAACAGAGCAAGACTTCGTCTCAAGAAAAAAAAAAAATTATTTTGTAGAGACGGGGTCTCATTGTATTGCCCAGGCTTGTCTTGACCTCCTAGCTCAAACAATCCTCCCACCTTGGTCTCCCAAAGTGCTAGGATTATAGGTGTGAGCCACCTCACCTGGCCCAGATCAGTTTCTTTTACTTGTATCTGGCCAATCTCCAAAACATCAACAATGAAAAAGGTTTCTAAATACTGTGATATTCATCTTCCTGTCACCATTCTTTTTTTTTTTTTTTTAAGACAGTCTCACTCTGTCACCCAGGCTGGAGTACAATA